GGATTTCCTGTTTGATAAGTTCATGCTACTAATGTTACGCTAACTATGTGTCACTTTACAAGTTCATTCTTACAAGAAAACAGCCACTAAAATAAAAGCAGACTTGTTCTCACTAAACGGTTCCTGAATCTGTAAACAAATTATGAACAGCCTGCGGACTTTAAAATGACTGCAGTGAATGGGCCATTGTGGCAACAATGATGGATGAGATAAAAAGATAGTCTTTCATGTTCCTCATTTTCACTCTGAATAGTTAATGTGCTTTGTGGGTGGGTTTCCAGCAATACCTTTACTCAGAACTGATAAATTCCCCCACTTTCCGCTCCAGTCTGTCTTCCTGCTGCTCTACTCTTTAAATGTTCACATAAAACAGTAAGAAGATTTCAGCATCATGCAGAGGTAAGCTGTGATCATTTTTATGCTCAAATGCAAACATCCATCTGATTTTTTTTCTATGCTGACATCAGAGCACAGCAGTTTCTGTTGCTTATTTCAGCAAACAGGAAAGGCTGATTAATGGGCTGCATTTTATTTTAGACCAAGAAAGCTTTTTCTTTTTCTTTCCTCCGCAGCAAGAACATTAAAAGTTTTGTGTCTTAAGATCAGATTTTATTTTAAGTAGAGGTTTTACCAAAACAAAAATTAAATAGCTGTTGGTAATTAATTCCGCTCATTAAGTTCTGCTGTTCTGCAGCTTTTTAGACATGTCTCTGCTTTCCCACCTGAATCAAATGCTTGGATTTCCTCCTAAGCAAACATTTAAACTCTTCAGATCTCCTGGGACATATTTATCTTATTTATTTATTTAGAATTAGTCCTAAGATCACTCCTAATGGTAAAGCAAAAAAAAAAAAAGTTAAAAGATGGACTTAAAAGTTATTTATTAAATGTCTCACTCACACTTTAAGCAAAGTTTAAGATAAGATCTCACACTGCAAAAACGATCTAGAAATAAGTAAAACAAATCTTAAATCAGGTGCATCTACCCTTAATTTGAGTAGTTAAATACGATGATTTGCCAATGAAATTAGTATCTTTACTCTTAAAATAAGATAATAAGATAATATGAACTTGAAATAAGAAAATGCAAATGTTTTTTCTTATTTTAAATGTAAATTGTCTTGTTCCATTGGCAAAGTGTCTCACTATCATCCTCAATTGGAGAAAAAATCAACTTACTTTAAGAAAAAATGACTTACTTAGATTTCCATTTTTTGCAGATCAGAGTGAGTTATGGTTGCACCTGGTGCCGTAAATTGAACATCTAAGTACTCCAAACAAGAAAATTAAAAACAATCTACTGGACTTTGTTTCCAAGTTTGAAGACGTTTCGCTTCCCAGGAAACTAAAACGGAAAGCAAAACGTCTTCAAACTTGGAAACAAAGTCCCGCAGATTATTTTTAATTTTCTTTTTTTGGAATGACTATGAACTTCTAAGTGCATTTAATTTAATAATTGCTGAATAGAAGCGATTATTAATGGCTGTTATGGCCCAGCAGTATCTGCAGAATTACACAATCTATATTGTATATATTGTAATAACATCTGTTAGACATATTGGAAACACTTCAATTTAACAAAATATCACTAAAAATAATTGTTCTCTTTTGAGAAAGGTTTTTTTTCCAGACCTGTAACCTACTGAAAACATGTGTTTTGCATTCAGAAAATGTGAGGAAAGGAGATGTTTACCATCTTTTAATAGTCCGTCACATACAGGACTATTAAAAATAATCCAAAAATGAGCTTAGATGAGATCATTTTCAACAACATGCTGTAAGATGATGCATTAGTACTGGCAAGTTTTTATTTATTTATGTTTTTTCTATACATCTGCAACACGCAACCACAAATTGATAATTTCTTATCATGATTTATTAATGTTCAGCCATGCAACACGTAAACGCTGCTATAAGATGTGGCTAACCATAAGTGATGCATTGACACTGATAATTTTTTTTTCTTTCTAACTGATGTTATCATATGTTATTTTTATGAGAAATGCTCCATTTCCTGTTAGAGCATCGCTTTGGTCTCCATTTCCTGTTAGAGAATTGCATCAGCTTTTATTTCCTGCATGAATTTCTTCTGCATGTCGTTAATGATGATATTAGGTCCCGTTCTGTTCAAATAATAATGTTTGATCAGCCTTGTTGTCAAAGGAAAAACATCTTTAGCTTCTAGAAAGTCGTGCACATCTCCCTCACCGCAATGCCATCTTCTACGCAATTCCTACCCACTTAAGACGTGTCTGTAGGTCTCCTTAATATTTGGAGGAGTAGG